CCATTTGTACTTCTTCTTTCCTTTCTTATTCTAGTTGCCACTGTCGTAATCTCTCTTCTTGTTTATTTTCTCGTTCTTCTTGTTTCTTTTACTGTTCTTGTATTGCTGCCATCTAATCTGCTAAGCTGTAGTTTGATTTGTCGCTTCTCGTTTCCATTTTTTTTGTCCCACTCTCTTACACCAATTTGTTACGTCTCTGGTCGTTAGTTAATTTTCCGTATAATTTCTTTCCGATGAAACTTTAGCGACACAAGTCCTTTCTTAATTAAAACTGGTTTATTCTTTCTGAATACAACTTTGCAATACACTTAATTTTCACAGTCGCGCTATAACAAACGCTATAATTCACAACGAACGTCTCACGTGCTCGACTTAACTGTCAATTACACAAATTGTTGCCGTCAGTTCTTGGCGGCGTATATATAAAAGAATACCGAAATCTAGTAAACGCTCGAGCATTCACGAACCTTCAAGAATATGAGGTGTTACTATCGTCACGTGACCCCCGCTGTCGTAACAATACGAATAGGTGTCTTACCATATCATTCAACAACCCGTGAAAACGACTTAAACCTTTGTCGAATCACTCGGAAAATAAAGAAGTGAGACCAAAGATGTAGTCTGTATACAGTTCTTTTTCGTTTTTCTTTTTTTGAAATGTTTGAATCATAGTACAGGTTTCAAAATTTTACTGTTCTCCAAAGGCTGTATTAACTGGACTATCTTAAACTTATTAAATCTGATTATCTGTGGAATTCAAGTGAGGTTTTTTATTTTATTTAAAGGCCAGTTGTCTAAAAGTATGTTTAAGCTTGGACTGTCTGTTTAATTCACTTCAGTATTTTAGCTATTATTGTTCATCTATAATAATCGTATTTCTGCATTTTATTTGTTGGGGAAATATTTCTATGTTGCCAACTACTAAATGTTTTTCACCTCTAGCTTAAATACAATTGATACATATCTATCTATCTATATAAAAGATTAATCGCATCTTTCAAGAATGATTAACTTAATAAACGATAAGCCTGCGACAATGGTGTGTCGCAGCAAATACTAGTCTGGATGCCACGATCAACATGACTAACACTTATATATACACTGAGTGGTCACAAGTAAATAGACACCTAATTTTTCGTCATTTAACTGATTT